TCCCCCCCCCCCAAGCTGAATTCCTATTAAGCTTTATGCCACCTTAAAACCATATGCCTTCTTTTCTACCCCATCACCTTGTTGGCATCAGGAATATACTGAAGTTTCTTTTTTAAAAAAAGAGAAAAGCTTTACTAAGGTATATTGCAGGAGATCAAGGAATTTTGGAGGGCAATAGCAGTAATTTCCCCCCCCCCCCAAAAAAACCAACCCTTTACTTGTATTCTAGTCCCTTGCAAGTGGAGACTTTAAAAGAGAGATGTTCTCTTCCAATGCTATTTAGATGTGCCAAGTGAAAAAGAGAGAAAGAGTGAAAAATCAAATCAGTAGGTACCCTGGACATCTGCTTTCCCTTATGATGTTTCCATGGATTCAACTTAGAACTTTGCAATCTGCAGGTTTAATAAGCATTTGGGGCTTTCATTGTTTTAGACACCCTGGAAGAACTGAGACCCTAGGTTTCTATAGTAACCAAGTACAAAAGGAAATTGAGCAAATACTCCAGCATCAGTGCTGCAGAGCCCTGCGGATCTGAAATAAAAACCATTCCCCTGGCAAGTGTCAGATTAGGGGAGTGGAGTTTCCTGGATTGAAAATTAAGATGCAAGCGATATCTTGCCATACTGGAAGCCGGAGAACGTTCCCAGTGCAAAGACTTTCATTTTAAAGGAAGCTCTTTGAGGGCAGCAGGATAGGCACCTATGGAAAACCCCAAGCTCTGCTTGTCAGGTATACAAGGCAAAAAAAAAAAAAAAATGTTTGCTGAAAGAGGCTCCAAAAAGAAAAGTTAGATACCTCCTGGAATCAGCATCTATGCTCCTATTTAAATACGGAGGCCGATTTCTTTCTTCCTTTCTTCCCTCTCTCTATCTCCCTCCCTCCCTCCCTCTCTCTGTCTTTCTCTGCCTCTCTCTCTCCCTCCCTCTCTCTGTCTTTCTCTGCCTCTCTCTCTCTCTCTCTCTTTCTCTGCCTCTCCCCCTCTCTCCCCCCCCCTCTCTTAAGGGCACCTTTTCCAATCCTGGTATTTTCTCTCTTTGGAGAAGCCAACTAATAGAATAGGGGAGGGGGGATTTAAAATTAATTTGCAATTAAGGAGTGGTGGAAACCTGCTTCAGTTAACTTCTGCAAAGGGCAGGGCTTAAGAGGGAATGCCCAGAGAATTTAGTCTCAGCAAATCCAACTCCAAATCATCCAGGATTTCGAGTCGGGAAATGTCATTCGCGAAGGATGGCATGCTTAGGAGGGTGGCACGACAAGGCTGAAGAGCCCTGATCACAAGGGATCCGCTTGCCTGTTCCCTGCCGTGCCCCCAATCAGCCAAGCTAGCGGGCAGAGAGTGAGGAGAGACCCATTTCATCCCCCACCCCGGAAAGTTTTCCTGCGCAAGCTCCCTCTTTGGCACCAGGGCTTCTTTGGATTTCAGCGAGGGAGACTTGCGCAGAACTCCCCGCCCCCCAGCGCTGGTACCGGAGCGAGCGAGCTTTTGAGCGTGGCCAGAGCTATGTTTGCCCACTCGGCTTCCCACTGCTTCTCACCCCCGCCCTCCCACCAAAGGGAAAGGATCTGGAGAAGTTACCTGAGTTTTGGGCTGCCAGCCTGACCTTCCTGGAGCTGACGGAGGAGTCATTCTGCTCAGGTTCATAGGATGCAGAAGTAGCAGCAGCAGCAACCGCCAGCAGCAGGAGAAGCGTGGGCTTTTGGCGCATTCTCTTAAGTTTCCGCCAAGTTCGCGCGGCGTGCTCGCTCGACTCTCTCTCTCTCTCTCTTTCTCCCTGCCTCTTTCTCTCCCTCTCTCTCTGTGCCCACTTCTTCGGCTTGAGCAAAGACACAGATCTGGCTGTTGGAGAAAAAGAGAGGAAGAGGAGGAGGAGGAGAAGGAGATGATGAAGACTCGCCGAATCAGCTCCACCAAGATAGCCCCCCTCCCTCTTTCTTCTTCGATTCTGGCTCCCACTCGCTGCAGGTGACCAACCTGGAGCTTTTATAGCTTCTCTTATCTCCCCCCACCCCTTAAAAGTCCTTCCCCGACCAGGAACCAATCGGGGGACGTGGTGGGCGGCCAATGAGAAGCGATGCTCATTCAAGCACAGGACGCCTGGAAAGTTCAGAGGAAGAATATTTTCCAACCTATTAAAAGGACCTCCAGACGGAATCGCAAACCACACCGACTCGCACGCGCGTCTTCTTCGTTTCCCTTCGTGTTACCGAGCGGTTGAGCGCTTAGGCTGGGATTGGGGTCCAAAACGACCGTTGAGACTTGGTGCCCGAGTTTCGGAATCAATGTGGATGTGCTCGGACGCATCGAGGAAAGAAAGGGGAAATCTTTTGCAAAGAGGATTTGTGTTCCGAAGACATGAAAAGGTAGAGGTTCAATTAGCCCCCCCTCCTCCATATGAATGAAATGGGAGAATAAAAGAAGTCCCATTGACAGGCACAGAGGAAGGCAGCATGTTATAAATCTTTAGGATCAGTGTTACTATACAGTTCCTTACATTACGTGTGTGTATGTATGTGTGTATGTGTGTGTGTGTGTGTGTGTGTATGTGCATATGCATATGAATGAATACACACACACAAATATACGTGCGCACACACACACACACATGCCAAATACCACTCACTCATCATGAAATTTCCAGAACCATAAAGCCTANCTGGATGACTGACAATCTCTATAGACATCCATGAATAATGTTCCTCTCCTCCTATTACAATACTAGTTTCTCTGCAGCCTGTGAGAGTGGGGCAAATTCATTTCCAAAGGTTTGACGAAGAAAATGCCTTTGTTTTTCACTCATTGGGGCCCAACTCTGATACGTCAGAAGGTCAAAATTCTGTGCAGAAATCAAGCCCAGCTGAGCATCAGAACTGCACATTATTTTCCAAATCCAACAAGATGCTGAAGCTATTCGGAGTCTAGAAAACTGGTGCAATTCTATCAGACCATAACCCACCTGCTTTAAAATAAAGGTAAAGGTTCCCCTAGCACATGTGCTAGTCGTTCCTGACTCAAGGGGGCAGTGCTCATCTCCGTTTCAAAGGCTAAGAGCCAGTGCTATCTGAAAACATTTCTCTGGACATGTGGCTGGCATGACTAAACACCAAAGGCACACGGAACGCTGTTGCCTTCCCACTAAAAGTGGTTCCTATTTTTATACTTGCATTTTTTACGTGCTTTCGAACTGCTAGGTTGGCAGAAGCTGGGACAAGTAACGGGAGCTCACTCAGTTATGCGGTGCTAGGGATTCAAACTGCTTTTTGATTGACAAGCACTGTGACCCTTTAGCCACTGAGCAACCTGCTATACCACCTTTCAATACTCAGAGAATCGTTATTTGAGATCTTTTTATATTATTTCTCCCAAGGAAATAATTCTCTAAAGGTCCTCTACAAATTCAGTACAATTTGATTCAGGGCAATATGACCATAACATGACAACCCAAGTCATTTCAAAGCTAATTCAGAATCCCAGCAGCTACAAAAGCAGCATCAGATAGATGAAACATTGAAATATCTGCCTAACCCAATTACTCCAAAGGATGAAAAGTGCTCAGAATTATAGGAAATCTAAGCCAGTATATCTGAAGTCCCCAAGCTAGGGGTTGAATGAGGAAGCCTGGAAAAATGTTTCGTTGAGGAATTCCATGGTCATCAACCAAAATGGCTTTACTGTCCATCTTGGCTAACCATAAGATAATAAACATAAGGGTAAAGGTTAAGGTTCCCCTCACACATATGTGCTAGTTGTTCCCAACTCTAGGGGGCGGTGCTCATCTCTTGTTTCAAAGCTGAAGAGCCAGCGCTGTCCGAAGATGTCTCCGTGGTCATGTGGCTTGTATCGCTAAATGCTGAAGGTGTACAGAGTGCTGTTACCTTCCCATCAAAGGTGTTCCTATTTTTCTACTTGCATTTTTACATGCTTTTGAACTGCTAGGTTGGTAGAAGCCGGGACAAGTAATGGGAGCTCACTCCACTAAGCGGCGCTAGGGATTTGAGCTGCCGAACTTTCTGGTTGACAAGCTCAGCGCCTTAGCCATTGAGCCACAGCGTCCCTTATAATAAACATACCATCTTTTTAATAATATAGACCAATATTATAAAGGGGCACTTTTGAAAATGACCACATTGGATAGTGAATATAGGATGGGAACACAGCAGAGGCAAAATATCTTTAGTTTTGTTGTCTGACTGATAACAATCATTTAACATAGGACCTCAGGTCTCACCGCCTTCCCACCCACCCCCACCCCTCCCCATATGCAAAGATTCTTACAAATTGAAGCTACTATCCCCTATAGAGTATGGAATGAATGTTGTTTTTATAGTTCTGCTCCATTGTTCCAAAAGACACTCTATGAAGACCATCTAGGAGCAAATATGTCCTTATCTTTTGAACCCAATCAAAAGAAATACATTAGAAAGCCATCACTAAAGTTGAGTTTAGGATGTCCATAAAAGTGTACAAGTGGAAGATTTTGTGGAAAGGCAAGGAAAAGTCATGGTTAAAAGGCTGCCCCTAGGCCCACGGAGACCCAGATTTAAATCATTTCTTGATTTCGTGAAGCTCAGGGAATGATCTTCAGGCAACCAAGATCAATTTGAAGGGAGGTTGTAAAACTGAGGAAGGGGAAAAGATCAGGAACCTCATCTTGAGCCAGAGCTAAGATATACAGCATTTTGTAAGAGATCTCATTAAAAAAAAAAAAAACCACATTATTTATCCCAAACGAACACTGAATTAAGTAAACTTACAATCTGAAGTTAAAATGGCACTGAGCAAGTGACTTACGACCATTGCAGCATCCCCAAGGTCACATGGCCATAATCCAGATGATTGGCAACTCCATGCATTTATGATGGTTGCAGCATTCTGGAGTCATGTGATCGCCACTTGCGACTTTCCTAGCCAGCTTCTCACAAGCAAAGACAATGGGGGAAGCGGGAATCTCTTAATGGCTTTGTGATGCACGGAACTCTGCAGTGCTTTGCTTAACAACCTTGGCAAAAAAGGTCATAAAACCAGGCGTGTCTCACTTAACAACCTTGCTCGGCAGTGGGAATTCTGGTCCTAACTGTAGTCATAATCTGAGGACTATCTGGATGTACAAATTATTTTGTTCCAGGAGTTTTGGTAAAAAAAAAACCTGATGCTAATATTTCTTTTTAAATTATTCCCCCCCCCCCAAGCTGAATTCCTATGTAGCTTTATGCCACCTTAAAACCATATGCCTTCTTTTCTACCCCATCACCTTGTTGGCATCAGGAATATACTGAAGTTTCTTTTTTAAAAAAAGAGAAAAGCTTTACTAAGGTATATTGCAGGAGATCAAGGAATTTTGGAGGGCAATAGCAGTAATTTCCCCCCCCCCAAAAAAACCAACCCTTTACTTGTATTCTAGTCCCTTGCAAGTGGAGACTTTAAAAGAGAGATGTTCTCTTCCAATGCTATTTAGATGTGCCAAGTGAAAAAGAGAGAAAGAGTGAAAAATCAAATCAGTAGGTACCCTGGACATCTGCTTTCCCTTATGATGTTTCCATGGATTCAACTTAGAACTTTGCAATCTGCAGGTTTAATAAGCATTTGGGGCTTTCATTGTTTTAGACACCCTGGAAGAACTGAGACCCTAGGTTTCTATAGTAACCAAGTACAAAAGGAAATTGAGCAAATACTCCAGCATCAGTGCTGCAGAGCCCTGCGGATCTGAAATAAAAACCATTCCCCTGGCAAGTGTCAGATTAGGGGAGTGGAGTTTCCTGGATTGAAAATTAAGATGCAAGCGATATCTTGCCATACTGGAAGCCGGAGAACGTTCCCAGTGCAAAGACTTTCATTTTAAAGGAAGCTCTTTGAGGGCAGCAGGATAGGCACCTATGGAAAACCCCAAGCTCTGCTTGTCAGGTATACAAGGCAAAAAAAAAAAAAAAATGTTTGCTGAAAGAGGCTCCAAAAAGAAAAGTTAGATACCTCCTGGAATCAGCATCTATGCTCCTATTTAAATACGGAGGCCGATTTCTTTCTTCCTTTCTTCCCTCTCTCTATCTCCCTCCCTCCCTCCCTCCCTCCCTCCCTGTCTCTCTCTTTCTCTGTCT